TTCACAGCCTGGCACACGTATTTGTAAAATCTAAGTGACTCGTACAACATGGAATTATCAACAGTGTTATAGGGGGTCAACTGTAATTAAAAATATGAAAATGTTTTTTTATAACAAAATCTTGTAACAGGTGGCACCATACACAATTTTATTAAAGTTACATTGGAATTAAAATTTTAAAAGATCTCATGGTATAATGTTCTCAGCTAGTATATTGGCCCAAATGTTTTTCCTGGTTATTCAATTCCTTGCTGGATTTTTTTAATGTTATATAATCATTTATTACATATCTTCTAATAACACAAATGTAATATAGCTCTAGTTGTCTAAGAAAACAACAGATTTGAATTTATTAATAAAATTGTACTTTAAAAAAAAATTATACTGCTATGGGTGTGAGAGTGATAAAAACAATGATCTTGGTAATTAAAATGAACATTTATTGCATAAATACAGTTGTCCCTTGATAATCCAACAGGTATGGGACCAAAGGTTGTCAAATTACCAAAAGTGTCTGGATTACCGAAAATAATTACATATTTCGCATTGTTTTGCTAGCAGTAACTTACAAACAATATTCTCTACTCCAACTGTTCGAACAGAACTGCTCACATAAAACACACGAAATGTGTGTCATCGTGTAAAAATTGAATGGGGAGATTCACACAGCGACATGCTTCTGTGCAAGCAGACACGTAACGGGGACGGGAGGTGCGTCGGACTATAGAGGGACAACTGTATTTACAATAAATGCGTTTCATTTTAACTATTTTGGGATCGATTACACCAATCTAAATATATAAAATTATTTGTCCTTAATGAATGACTCATCATTGGCCAGAGCAAACTGCTGAGCCTAGAAGTGAAATTTGGTACACAGTTAGGGTATGTCACGAAAACACACACTAAGAAGGGATTTTTTAAAATTTCCCTGCGGGGGAGGGGAGTATTAAGGCTTCTATTGTACTGTTTTACATGTGATTTTTTGTTACGTTTAGTCTTCATTAAGTACTTAGGTGTATTAAATTCATAACAATTCATTTCAGACATTGTTATAAATATTTTTATTTTATGTAATTCAAATTTGTTATTGCATATTGGTTCGATTATAGAATGATTGTAAACGTTCCAGAAAATCGGTCAAATTGAAAATAGTTCGTTTGATTTGATTCTCGACGTTGTTGTTATATAACAATTACTATGGTTGTTGAAATACTGAATATAAATGGGGTTTGCTTCAAAATCCTCGTGGGTAACAGCTAGTTAATAGCATAAAGCAGCATAATTGAATAAAACTAGTTACTGGAAATTCTGGTTTTATTGGCTAACCATAAAAAGATTTGGTAAATTTTTATAACAATTTATATTATTATTAATGTAAAACATGTAATTAATTAACTTCAGCATATTGTACTACAAGGATCAAAGGAATATTGGTCAGGTGTCAAGACCAACAATGCAAAAAGACATCTTTGGGTAAATGGATGTTTTTAAGCCGACAACTCTGTTATAGTTTAGATTTATAAATCTAAAGTTAAAATAATTTTGATAACAATAAGTAGACTCCACAGTGTTTATATATAATTGAATATTTAAGTTAAAGGAATTTTTGTTGAGAGCACATTTTGAAATATAATGTGACAACTAGGATGATTTAATTGGTGAATTTTTTTTCAAATGTACAATATTTGAAGTATTCTATTTCTTAGGACTAATATGTAATACTAACTGTTATCCGCCACTTTGTCTGCGGAGGTTTTGCAAGCAAACCCCATTTACATTCAATACTTCAATAACCATAGTAATTGTTAGGTCTATATAACACCTACAGCTGAAGAGAATTGCTGAGAATCAAACGAACTATTTTCTGGAGCGTTTACAATCGTTCTCTAATCGAACCAATATGCAATAACAAATTCGAATTTAAAACGGTTCAAACATTTTTATCTATTTCAATGTCTAAAATGTTATCAATTTAATACACCTAAGTACTCAATGAAGACTAAATGTAGTTAAAACAAAAAATTGCATCTAAAATAGTACAGTAGAAGCTGTTCTTCCGGTTAAGCCTTAATCCTCTCCCTTTCCCCCCACTTGGGAATTTCGAAAAATCCCTTCTTAGTGTGCGTTTTCATGACGAACCCTAACTGTGTACCAAATTTCTGCTCTTTAGGTCCAGCAGTTTGCTCTGGGCGATGATGAATCAGTAAGTCAGTCAGTCAGGACAAGCAATTTTATATATATATGTAGATTTATCTAGTATGATATTGTCATTTCTGTTGCTCTCACTCTGGCCTTAGTTTTTAGCTTTGAATATCTTAGAATACCATTATTTTCCAATAACAACTCTCATTAGATTGTTTCCTTTATTTCTTAAAACATACCCAATCTAATTTTCTCTTTTCAACCCTCTCTAAACCTACATTGTAGGAAAATGCCCAGATACAAGTAGACTCGACTAAATTGTTTGTTTTTTTTTGTCAGGCCATTTGCACGGAAGCTGGTCTGATGGCTCTGCGAGAACGAAGAATGAAAGTGACCAATGAAGACTTTAGAAAATCTAAAGAAAACGTCTTGTACAGGAAGAAGGAAGGAACTCCCGAAGGACTTTATCTTTAAACACGTTCTTAACTTAATCACCTTTGTTTTTTAAAAATACACGTTGGTAGAAAGCTCTCGATATTAATTAATAAAATTCGTTTGTTCCGACATTGCCTGTATAATTTTCATCAATAAAAAGACAATTTTTCTAAGATATAATTTGAATATATAAAATATCTGGAAATTACCAAAATTTACGTAATGGGGATGGGAAAAGAATATGCTAGTCAATAAAATGGCCCAACGGAACCAAAATAAGGATCGAGTATGGTTTCGTTGACTATTACAGGATAAAAAGAGAAATGAGAGCTAACAAAGTGCTCTCATTTCCCTTTTTATTTATTTGTCTTATTCTTAATTTGGCGCTTAGGGTATTAGCATATCTCCAATTCTCGATAAGGAACCGTTATTTGGGAGTGCTTCGATACCCAACGCTTTGCACATGGCATTATAATGATCCGTCATTTGAAGCAGTGGTGTAATGTATTCTTAAATTAGTTAAAATAAATAACTGAGTAGTCTTACTACTGTTCAAATTCATACCTGGTTCTCTGGCATATAAAATAGTTCGCATTTCTTCATATAAATATGAGTCATATCTGCAACAACCTTTGTATATCCTATCGGAGAACTGCTTCATTTTCATTCATGCAAATTAACAAATAAACTATTAAATGCATAAGGTTAAAAATAAAAGAAAAATTATATATAAATTTACCGATTGTATTAGATATCCTTTTTCGGCTACTAAATACGGAATAAGAATTGGTGCTTATAACGATATATTTCTGTCATTTCTTCCTTTTTGTATACTTTCAATCCTTTAAAATTTCCTTTTTTTAAGTTGTTATATACCTAAAAATTATATGTAATTGAACAATTAACTTATGAAATGGCCCAAATATAAACAATATTAAGACTTGCAATAATAAATTTCAGTTTTCGATACGCATACGCAACATGTATGGAAGCAGCAAACAGCTGATAATTTATGTTGTGAGCTAAATTACAATTGAATGAATTGCTTGATTATCGTAAATACTTTCCGATTTAGTTTGCCAGTGGGTGCCTGTCTGTGTGTGTCTTCAATGGCAAGTTATTCTACAGGCAATTGTTTGGGGCTCCCACCAGCAGGGGACCCCAAACCAATCTTTTATACATGCATTACTGTAGTAACAATATCAAAATTTAAATTTTGGCCATATCTGGGGAGTCTAGATTGCCGGTGTGGGTCAACTTAACCCACTAGAGGTTGCGTTAAAAAACGAACAAGGATACCCGAAGAAAAATGTTTGAAGTCAACACCGTACATGTGGACCTCTAATTCAAATTTGCCCGGGCCCCAAGAAGCTATAATGCACCACCGTGTGTCTCTGTGTGTGTTTCGAGAAAACTATAAATCTTTACATTTACGTAAAACGTAAAGATTTAATTTGTCTTTTATTTATAATGGAAACAAAGAAACTAAACTAAAATACCCCATAAAAGTAAATACATTAGCATAAAAAACAATATTTAACACTGCCACGTTAGTGTGACTCTAATCAACATTACGTAACACTTAACACGTGTCTTTCAAACATCACACAATTGAGCCCTTTTGTGAAGATGTCGACGACGTTTTCTTTTGAACACACAGATTTGAAAATTAGTTCACCTTTTGAACCATTTCTCGGGTGCAAAATTTCTTCTAACTTCTAGACAAAAAACTTCCATATGCTCGGTGTATTCTGGAACGAAAGGATTAGTGGCTACGCAAATGGCATCTTTAGTTGTTAACATTTTCAATGAAGAGAATTCAGTTTAAAGTTCAAATAGGAGCATTTTCAACTACAACATTTCTTTTGACTTCGTACCATTTCCAAAAATTCAGACTCAATGGTCGAAAGAGAGGCACATTCTTGTTTTCCACTGCTCCAAGAGATTGCTCCTCTGCACATTGTAAATGCACTTAAATACATTGATTTTCGTAGAGTGGGCTCAAAATCCCCGGTCTACGAAAATCAATGTTGTGTTAAATATCTATTTAACTATAGATATCTATCTGCATTTGAACAAGCCTTGAATTTGGTGTATTATTCAGTATATTTTGATTCCTTTTAGATACTTAATAATTGATATAAACATAATGTCAGGTTTTCTGCAATTTGAATCTTAATGCTTAGAGGTATCATCACTAGTCCTGTTTTTATTCATAAAAACTGAGCATGGTTTCATGAGCACAGTTTGTTTTCATTTATTTAATAATTCGTCAATGATGCTGATCAATACTGATCGAGCTAAATTGATCCCTCTGAGATTCGTCGTATTCTGATGGATAACAAATGTTATTTCACCAATTTCGTACGTTACTAATGCTGTTATTTTAAGGAACAACGATATTGTTTTATTTAGTTGGCAAAGAATATAGACAAAAAGGTTAAGTGGCAAGTAATATGGCGATAGAATGTTTACGGACACAACTTTAAATTAAATCATTTTTCTGCATTTAATAATAAATTCGAGTGTGATTAAAAAACGGTGGAAAAACGGTGGAAAAACACTGGTTTAGATGATAAAGTTTTCAATCTCAATACACCGCTGTTGCTATAATTATCCTAAGAGTCTCCTCTTAAAAATATGTATTGTTTAAATTTCTTGCTTACCCCAAACACTTATACTTCGGATAGGGTGAGATTAGAACCGGTATTTATTGAAATAGGCAAGTTCGGATTTCGTAGAGTACCGTACACATTTTTTTTTTTTCACGTTTTCCTTAGTTTATTAGTAAGCTTACTTATCGTATCGTATCGTGAGTTCAAACTCGACGAATACCCCGGGGTGGATTTAGGGGTGCTCAGAGCGCGGCTGCATCCCCTTTCTGATGGTTTTTTGATACTCGGTTAGTAAAATATTTTGTAAGGCATAGTGTGTTACGTAATGTAATTAAACCATATTTTCTGCATTTAATTAGCGTATTGTACTACTATCTTATCTCGATCGTCCGAAAACCTGTTGGATAATGAGTAAATAACATATCCACGAGTTTAGACTGTATAATTTTAAATAAGTGAATAGATAAATATAATTAAACCTTAGCTTCTTTTCCTTCTTTAGGGAGAATCATGGACACGGGACCGTGATCGAGCGTAAGACGAATATCGTCGAGTTTTATGGCGCTTTCGATTCAAATTATCTTTATATCTTGATGAACGGGCATCGTTCCATGGTCCGATAAGATCATTAGATTTACCTGAAAGGAAAATATAATAATGGTTACACAGGTTTTGCTGTATTTGATTAATAATAAGATACACTTTGAGTCAAACTTGTTTACTGTAGCTTCCTTCTACACTAAAGCGTGAGAATATAAATGTTGAAGAACAGATAAGAAGTAAAAGAAAGTAATTTTATAAATATATATGTTATTGATAAAAAGAGTCATCAGATTTCCTCTTTATCTCATGGAGGAAAATGAAAAATACACAGTTAAAATCATTTGTATCTGCAAAGAGAGATTTAGGAAGCACATTATCTCAAAAGATTACATGATGCAGAATAAGTTATAAAGTATCAAATGGATTCAAGGAAAGACTTGACAAATTCTTCAAAATTAAATAAGTTAATAAAATTAATTAAAGAATGATAAACCGTGCACAGAATTTAATAAAAAGATCGAATCAAAATGCATTTAAGTGCTTCATTTGAATGGTGGAACACGTTAACAGAACACACCGGCAATCTGCCAAGGGGGTGTCTGCAGCGAGGACTTTCTATGGGAACTGACTTCCAATTAGGTGTTACATATGCGAAGAAAACTGGAAAACTCCACACGGCCAGCCCGTTAGTAAGGACCAACTACCAACGTCATGGGCGCAACCTTAAAGATAATTTTTATCTTTGCAGAACTGACATTATTAGAGGATGAACGGGATCCGGTCCTTTACAGTTGGAGCCCACGACCAGTTAGTTTTTATTCACTCAGCCACTGGTGGGCCCACTTAAATGGATTCTGTTTCGATTTTGACCTAAAACATGAATATCAAATTTTGGAATCGATTCATTTTAATGTTTTAAAGGACATACTACTTTAGAAATATGAAAAACCACATTTTATAAGGTTTTAATTGTTAAGAAATCCAAAATTATATGTTGTTACTGTTAATTTCAAAGAAACTTATAATTGAATTGATTAGGACCTTCATAGAAGATTTGTTATCTGTTGTAGTCTCTTAATCTATTCCAAATAAACGTATCATTAGTATATTTTACTACGTTTAATTTACGAGAGATATATGAGACTACTTCCTTTCCAAGGTTTTGCCCGTTGATCTCCTCTTGAAGAGATAGCATTGCAAGATATCAATTTAATTCTTCTTTCTTTAGAATTAGGCCCTTTAAAATGGCCTTAAATAAAATAAATTTCCATATTAACTATACTAATTTGTGCCATTATAAGTTAATTAAGAGTTTATCGAAGTGCATTCTAAGCAATCTAGACACACATTCTATCATATCTTAGCAAAAATACTTACCATTTGCATTTACAGCTTGGCAATACACCAAACCTAATCAGTAATCTTGGTTTTGAAACATATCCAATATCTTAAATAATGCATCTTTTGTATCTTTGTTTACTTTACCCCAAATCCAATAATTTTCGTACGCTCTGCAGAAAGACGGTTTCTTCCCACGAATAACTACTTGGCATCCATCCCACCAGTACATTGCAGTTTTTATGCCATTTTTTTCTGCTGTGATCCATAATGGTTTCGTGTAATTCCACCAATGGGCACAGGAAGTGTTGGAATGAAGACATAGCAAGAAAATGTCATCTTTCTCTGTCGTACATGTAATTTTGTACTTCCATTCAAATTCAGAGATTTATCAGTTTCTTCCTTCCATTCTGTGATGATGATAACATAAATGTGAATGCATATACAGCAGGGGTGGTCAAAACGTGGCCCATGCGCCAAGTGGACGATTACAAGTGGCACTTCAGTTAGATCTGAGTAAAATTGCCAGATTTGGTTTTTTTGCGATTAAAAATATTATATAAAAAAATAAATTTTTTTACAGTCTGTCTTGGCAAGTTCATTTGTTGCACAATTCGTTACAGTCTATTTTGCAGATAAAATGAGTGTTCTCCACATAGTAAATTACAGTGTATGCATGTATTGTGAGTCTTGCCATCTTTATTTCCGATCAGTTTACAGGCGTGTAAATGGTTGAAAACATTTATTGTGATATTAAAGTTATTCCAAGCTCATCTCGTTTTCAGTGCCAATAATTGTGGTGCAGAGTTATCTTCACCAAACAAGACTCTGGCAGCTATAGCACCATCATCAAGCAATCACCCTCTCGTACAGGAGATCATTGCTTACTATTGTAAATTGGTGCTTCAATAAACTGTCATAAATTAATTAATTCAACTGTGTGATTAAATTATTCCCTTTTCTCCCCTAAGCGAAGCAGATTTATTCTTATCTCTATTTATTAACCCCTAACATTGAACGTAAGACTGTAGAGGAGAAGGTGGTATTATGGAACACTGCAGGTATTATGGAACCAACCCATTTCGAACTGATAATAAAGGCGAACTGTAGCGGAATATGGCTGAACTGAACTAGGCAGACATCCATAGCAAGGGGAAAACCCGTTTTACTTCAGTCAAGGGGAAAACTGTATTTAATCAGCAAATTTGTTTTTTTCAAAATTCGCAAGTTTTGAATGCTAAAGGAAGTTAATTACTTTTAAAATATAAATCGTGTAGTTGTAGGTTCACCGGTGCATGTAT